TTTGGCCAAGTGAGCTGTGGTTAGCTGTCCGCCCCTCAGGTTCTGGCCGGTGAGTGTCAGGGCCAGCCTGACAGGGTTGAGCTGGGCTGAGGCAGGGAGGTGGGAATTGAGAAAAGAAAGAAAGACAGGAAAGCGTGGTTGGGAGGACTCCAGTTCTCTTGATGAACTGAAGCGAGTTTATTAGCTCTACAATCCTATTTATACATAACACACTGAATAGGAGGTCTATCAAGAGGAATGTATTCTTTGTTCCTCTTAATCTCTAAGGGAGGGATACAGCAGAAGGACAAATTCTCAGTACAGCATATCTCAGTAAATAGGTACAGACTTCTTGCAAGCTATGAAAGGCTGTTTTCATTCTACAAATGTTACTCCCATTCTACTGATAATCACTATCCAAACAAGTCTGGGAAAACTGTGTGGGTAACGGTCCCAGCCTTGCTAGCCCCTATAGGTGCAAGGACCTTGCCAGCTTACATCTGGCCCCCAACAGGGATGGGCAGGGACCAGACCCCTGCGGGGTGTTGCTAAAAGGCACTTGTGGACTTTAGTCAGAGCTGAATGATGATAAGGATACAAAGACTTTCTGCCAAGACTATAGCTGGCTGATGTCCTGCTGGGCCTGGGGACTCTGCGGGGATTACTATGGGCACTGGTGGGCAATTTTATATATATATTATTGATTACAGAGAGGAAGGGAGAGGGATAGAGAGTCAAAAACATCGATGAGAGAGAGACATCGATCAGCTGCCTCCTGCACACCCCTCACTGGGGTTGTGCCCACAACCAAGGTACATGCCCTTAACCGGAATTGAACCTGGGACCCTTTAGTCCACAGGCTGATGCTCTATCCACTGAGCCAAACCAGTCAGAGCACTGGTGGGCAGTTTTTAAGGGGCTAGCATTTTCAGATCTTGAGTTATGGCACTTGCAATCTCAGCATGTGCCTGACCCTGAAGCAATCTGAGACACTGCCCTGAGCAACAGCAGGAAAGGAGCTGTGGGCAGCCTGCAGCTCAGGACTGAGAAGCCCTGAGACCTGACCAGTGCTGTGTGGACCCCTTGGCACCTCCAGGAAAAGCCAGCCACACAAAGCTGCCCATGATGGGCCTCCAGAAAACCCATATTGAAGTCCCAGCAAGATTTGTGCCTAAGGTTCCAAGGATGTTGAGTGGAGCTGGTACATCAGAGAAAGTCAAGGCTAGTGATCAGCAACAGGTCTGTCTGGCACGTCAATATGCCAGGAGTGGGGTCCAACCACAGGGAGGGTTGCTAGGCAAGAGTGGAAGAGGGTGGGCTCTTTGGCCCCTGCACCAGCTCATAGCTGGGCGCCAGAGCCCAAGAGAAGCCTGTGGAAGGGGACTACCTGGGGTTACATGTCCACCCTGGTGTCTGTCCTTGGAATCTGCTAGTGTTTCTGATTTGTCGTTGTCTTTCTGCTGCTTGTTACTATGACAGGTGACGATCCTGCTGTACCTGGCAGAAGTGATGACTCGGCTGACGTGGCACCAGTCCCTGGATCCTGACAGCCACTGTATCCCCTACCTCACGGGGGTAGGAGACCTCCTAGGGACTGGCCTCCTAGCCCTGTGCTTTCTTATCAGCTGGTTATTGAGGAGCGAAGCAGAGCTGGATGGCATTTCAGAACTAGCATCGGGACCTTCCTAATGAGACCAGCAGCTCCAGTTAGTCAATAGAATGCTCCCTCCCACCAATAGGGTACAGAATGCAGCTGCTCCCTGGCTGGGTCCTTAGGTCTCCCTGCCTCGACAGTGGCCCTTTGTCCATCTCTTAAGGAGACTCACATACATCTTGACCCTCATGTTGGACCCTGAGGCCATGATGGAGCCTAAAATCAGAAGTACTGTCTGTGCGTGTGAGTGTGTGAATGTGTCTGCAGGTGCCCACGTGCTAGATGAGTGTGTGAATGTGTCTGCAGGTGCCCACGTGCTAGATGAGTGTGTGAATGTGTCTGCAGGTGCCCACGTGCTAGATGAGTGTGTGAATGAGTGCACGTATGTGTGGAGAGCAGGGCGCACAGGCCCGAAGACTCTGAAGGAAGAGGCGTGGCAGTGCACTGTGGGGATGTTTGGCCCTGTTTCAGTCCAGTGCAGCCCGGATTGGGGTAGAGCAGGAAGAAGATCCATTGGGTGCTCAAGTCTCGGGACTTCCCGAGTCCTGGCTTAACTGCTGTCTTCACTGGGTCCAGCTCCACAGGTCGCTCTGCTGATGTGCCCTGCAAATGTGGGCAGCCCTTCCTAGGACAGGGCCCCCATCCGCTCCCAGCATTTACTTTTGCCACTGCTTTCTTTCCTTTTTCCGTTTTCTCTCTTTTCCCTTCCTTCCTTCCTTCCTTCCTTCCTTCCTTCCTTCCTTCCTTCCTTCCTTCCTTCCTTCCTTTTTTTCTTTTTTTTTAAACAAACACCTCTGTTTAAATTTTAATAATCAGAAAAAGTGTAAAATAAAGCATAGACTATATTGCATTTGGCATTTTGTGTTTGTAAAGATATTAATGCGCCCATGCGATGTGTGGTCAGTAAGTCACAAAAACCTCTGGCATTTCTCTAGTGCAAGTTTGTCACACTGTAGTCTCCAGCCTAGAAGCATCAGACATCCCCAGAGAAGGTGTTAGAAATGCTAATTATTAATCCCCCACCCCACCCCCCGCCCTGACAGATCAGAGTGTCTGAGGCAGAGCCCAGCAGTCGGGGGTTTAACCAGCCCTCAGGGGCTCTGATGGACTCTGGAGAACCATTGCTCCAGAATTCCAAGTTACTGCAAACACTAAATAATGCCTTATGTAAACCTGTCTTATTGCAGATACAGCAAAAATTATCTTTGTACCATCCTAACGTACAGACTAATTATACACAGAATATGTAATAGTTAAGTACTACACTTACTGGAAAAACAGAGGTGGGAATATATAATTAATTCTGAAGGTGTAGAGAAAAAAATAACATATTAGACAAAACCACAAATTAATATATGCGTTTTCCATTTCTTCTTTGAATTCCTGTGAACCAATACAACATATGTGGTCAAAGAGTAATGGTATAGGACTCAGAAAATCCTTCTACTACTTCCTAATGGCATACCTTGTGTGAGTTACTTGTAAAGAAGCAAATTAAATTATTGATTCAAAAATTTATGAAATCCTTACTATGTTCTTGCCGTAATTTTACATAAGGTATTTTCAGGACATGAAAAGGAACAAAGAAGCCTGTTTTTCAGAAGTGTACATCTAGTTGGGCAGATAAGACATTTACTAGAATGCAACACAGAGAAAGATACAAAATGATGAAGGTATAGTGACTTCATTGCAATTAACTATTTTCATGAAACAGCTGTGTTAAATTTATAAGTAAGGCTATTAGAAATTCTATTTAAAAATATTTTTTTATTGATTTCAGAGAGGAAGGGAGAGGGAGATAGAAATATCAATAATGAGAGAGAATCATGCCCCCAGCGGGGGGATTGAGCCCACAACCCAGGCATATGCCCTTGGTTAGAATTGAACCTGGGTCCCTTCAGTCTACAGGGCAATGCTCTATCCACTGAGCCAAACAGCTAGAGCTTAGAAACTGTAATTTTATCTGACTTTTTATTGTCTGAAAGCAGTGTTTTCTCAATACTTGCCAATATTAATGTGTGTTTAGCTCACTAGATGGCATCTTTTCTCTTTCAGAATCAGAAATTTGAAAGCCAATTTTTATTTGTAAAAAAAAGGTTTATCTTTGAAAATAATGGGAATGAAACAGATTTGTTTTTAGAAAGTTTCTTATTTTAACTAAAACACCAGAATTTGTGCATCCAAATATATTGTCCTTGTAAGAAATCAACTTGAAAAAATATACTCTGTAGACCTTAGAAGCTGCAATTATTTCAAAGTTTGAAATTTTAAAAAATTTCCTTTGGAGGCTGAGAATCATACAAAAATATGTTTTATTCTACATTCTACACAGGGTGTCCCCAAAACTGTATAAACTATGTCTATAGATTCTATCACATTTGAAAGTGAAATGCATTTTAACAAACACTACCTTTATAATTATTCAAAATTTGTATACACTTTTGGGGACACTGTATTTATAACATATTTTTTGCTATTACCTAAGTTTTACATCAAGTTTTTTTTAAAAAAGTTTTTCAAACTTTAACTGGTATTTTATAGATTTTCAATGACAGTCACAGATTTTCTCTATGAATCATTTTAAAGGGAAACAGAAAAGAATATATCAAATTAGAGGAGGTAGGATGACAACATAAAGTATTGGAAAAAGCATGGAATTTAGAAACAATCTAATCCCAGGACAAATCACAATATGACCTTGGGCAATTTTTTAGCTGACATGTGCTTCACTTCCCTCATCTATTAACCCCTTCCCCGGTAGAAACGTGTATACTCGTTTTCACAAAATGTTCTTTTTCAGTCGTCGACGAGTATACTAAGAAAATATGGTAAAAAAAATATGGTTTATAGGAAGACGAGTTACAAACTGTTTTCATAACCAGCATCAAAAATACTATATAGAACCAAAATTAAAAAATTAGTCTGAAAAAGAAACGTTTTTAACAAAAGAATTGTTGGGGAAGGGGTTAAAGAGTGATGCTATTTCTATCAAATAGTTGTGAATTATTTTTTAAAATAAAATGGCAAAGGAAAATTTGAAACATTTCATAAAATCATCTGTGTCGCCCTAGCTGGTTTTGCTCAGTGGATAGAGCATCGGCCTGCAGACTGAAGGGTCCCGGGTTCAATTCTATCAAGGGCACATGCGTAGATTGTGGGCTCCATCCCTGGTAGGGGGTGCGCAGGAGGCAGTCAATCAATGATTCTCTCTCATCATTGATGTTTTTATCTCTCCCTCTCCCTCTCTGAAATCAAGGGGGAAAATTATATATATTTTAAAAATCCTCATCTGAGGATATATTTTTATTGATTTTAGAGAGAGAGAGAGGAAGTGGGGGGGTGGGGGGGGAGCGGGGGAGAGAAATATCCATTAGTTGCTTTCCGCATGTGCCCCTACAGGGGATCAAAACATGGAGAGAGAAACATGGATTGGTTGCCTCCCATACATACAGAGGTGCCCTGACTGGGAATTGAGCCCTCCAGCCTTTATCGTGCATGGGTCCAGGCTCCATCCAACCCAGCCTCCAGGCCAGGGCAGCTCTGAAGTCTTAAAGTGACCAGTAGGAGTCCTCCATAGTGAAGGCTCTAAGGCAGTGGTTCTCAACCTTCCTAATGCCGCGACCCTTTAATATAGTTTCTCATGTTGTGGTGACCCCCAATTTCATTGTTACAAATTCAACATAGTTAAAGCATAGTGATTAATCACAAAAACAATATGTAATTATATATGTGTTTTCCGATGGTCTTAGGCAACCCCTGTGAAAGGGTCATTCGACCCCCAAAGGGGTCGCGACCCACAGGTTGAGAACCGCTGCTCTAAGGATTGATAACTTCAATACAATCCACATGATTTTTTAAAGATAAAGAACAGACATCAGCTTATTATCTCTTCCTCCAACTACTCTGTTTCCAAGGCCACTGTCAGGCTCAACCATCATTCTCTGTTTACTTCATTTATATATCTCATACCAGCTCAGCAAAATTATAAGATTCTTGATTGTAGAATCCATTGCTAATTATTTTTGTTTTGAACTCTGTATAAATATTGCTGCTTCCCATTTCATAATTTGTTGATAAGAATTAGGTGATTAAGTTTTTGCCTTTTTCTTAGGCATACTCCATGCCAATTTCTTCAGATATTTATCTATCTACCTACCTATCCATCCATTGATCTATTGCAGTTACATGTCACATTGACTCAGAACAGGTCTGTGGAAGTCTTAGGGTATAAAATCAACCATCTGAATTATTCATCTGGATTCTTTGCCAATTGATGAGACAAAATAGAAGTACCTCAATAGAACTTTCATTCTATTGTTATAATTTTCCTTTATTATTAACCCTATATCCTGTTAAATAAAATGAATTTGTGATCTTATCAAACCCCCTGGGGGCCCAAATGGCTTCATTGGGAAACCTATAAAACATTAAAGGAAGAAATAGCACCAACCTGAACAGAAACTTTAATAATATAAAGAGGAAGGAACTTTCCCAACACTCTTCATAATGCCAGCCTGTATCAAATCTGTCAAGAATATTACAAGTAAATAAAATTACACACCAATATCCCCTCCAACAAAAATTCCAACAAAATTTAGCAAATTATCTATCTTCAACCACATGTTTTACATAAATTATTTCATTAAGTCCTTACAAGATTCTATATGCCAGTACTACTGTTAACCTCCATTTTGTATTCCTCCACCCAACTTCAACCAGAATGCCTCCATTAAATCCATTTTTGTGAATTGTTTTCCATTAAACACTTTAAAAAAAAAAATCTCCACCCAAGGATATGTTTGTTGATTTTAGAGAGAGGCGGGGGGGGGGGGGGGGTGTAGAAAAACATCCATCAGTTGCTTCCTGCACGTACCCTACAAGGGGGTCGAACCCACAACCTTTTGCTGCACAGGACAATGGGGTCAAACCCACAACCTTTTGCTGCACAGGACAATGCTCCAACCAAGCCACCCAGCCAGGACTTAAACACTTTGTTTTCTTCTGTTGCTGGGACTGAAGGCCTCTCTATAGGCCAGACCCTGTTAACTCCCAGGGACTAATCAGATTTTTTTAATCCTTCGTACCATTCAGGGTGGAATCTGGGTGTGGCTGTATTCCTTGCCTGGAGACTGGAGGGAGGTGTTAATATCTTCAGGAGAAAATGGGTACCCTAGTCCTGGGCTCAGGGGTGACTCAGCCCTCAATTCGCTGCCACCTCTCCTGCCACCCCCCTCCCCAGCCTCTCCCCAGATTCCACTCGTCCACACCTTCTCCCTCTCCTCAGCACGGGTGAGTGTCTGTATCTGAAATGTCCTATGAACAGGGTTCAGTGAAAACAAACAAACTAACTAACGCCGGCCGCAGAAACGGGGAAGACTGAGTCTCTGTGAGCTTCTCTCTTACCGGCACTGCATGCTCTGGTCAGCGCTTCAGGCTGCCTCCTCTGGGCTCAGTCCTCCGTAATTATGGAACCCAGATCTCAAACCCCCCGGCGCCAACAGAAGATGTCCTTTCCCCAGGCAGAGGCTATGCCTGTCCCAAGGGACGCGGCTGGGTGCCGTGCGGTTTCCCTCTGACCCTCTGGGCTCAGAGATCTGGCAAACTTTCCTGTCCAGATCTCTGGTTTTTACCTTTCCAGGGGAACTCTGCCTTTCCCGGCTGCAAACTGTCTCACCAGCTGAATCTCCTTCACCAATTCGGGGTGGATGTTATTCGTTTCAGCTGCTC